AGGTCGTGTATACGGCACTAATAACCAAATTTCGCAAGGAGTGCAGAATAGCCCGGATAAGATCCATTCCTAAACAGGGCTCCTCTTTTACACATAATACCGACCGACTAGTATCTCACTCTGCCTCTCTAAAGTTACAGAGCACGTCATGACGGCACAACTTGATTCACTTTTGATTCACTCAACAGTAATTCCCTGCTCAATTCGGCTTTTAGTCTTGACGTTGTGCTTCGAAAGTTTTAATTTCCGTCATGGAGTCTGTTAGGAATAACATCCATATTGGTATGAGCTGTGTTCTTGTCGCTTTGAACCTGACAAAGGCATTTGACATAGTCTGATACACTAAGCTAATTAACCAAATGTATAAAAAGTTCAACTTCGCTTGAAGTGATTGTAAGCTTATGTCGTCGTATATTTCGGATCGTAAACAGTTTGTTTCTGTGAATTATTGTAAAATTATCTGTGTAAAAATATCTGTGTATTCCATTTTCTAGTTTCAATGAAATGTCTTAAGGTAATCCTCAATCGCGAGACCTACTTTGGCCCCCACGTTCACGATGTCTCTACTAAAGTTTGTCTTGCGCTCCGAAAATTGTATTATTTAAATCTATATCTGCCTTTGTAGATTAAACGAACAATTGCGCATTCGTTTCTCATAAGGCATGCTGACTATATAAGATATAAGTTAGATAGGCTCCGAAATATTGTTACCCGTATAAAAGGCTTTATAACGTCACACTTAGAGGTCACATCTCCCCTTCCATTCATGCTTTCTTAAAATTGTACTTTGCCGATTATCTCGAATTCAGTGTGTTAAGAAATCATTCATTCTCGATGCTCAAGTATTTTATTACAACGACCGCAGTCCTCTAGATCGAACAGAAACACTTTTATATTAATAGCACGTTCTTGTAAATCACCAGAAGAAAGATTTTTTACAATTCGTGTTGCGAGATATTGGAATGCGTTACCATTGAGTCTGAAATCCTTCAATGATTCCTTGAATACATTTAGATGAAAATTGGCCGCACTGTTAAATTCATAGTGTGTATTTTGTTGCTGATAGGAATTGCTGATTACTGATTTTATGGAGCAAGATTATTACTTTTGCGCCATTTTAGTTGATTTATATACTCACTTATGCTGTAGTTTCTTTTTACATATGAAATGTATCTATGTAAATAGGTAACAGTCCTATGGCTTTATAGTTACTTAGGAACGGATGCAGGCGGTTTTTTCTATTTTCAAAAAAAAAGTGTTTGTGACGTAAACGTGTGGGCGTTGTATGAATGAATGTTTACAAGTGCTACGCAGTTGCGCAGACAGGCAGATGATGAGAATGTTTACAAAAGGACATTACACAGACGGACAGACGGGCATGCCTCAATAGATTTAGAATTTAATGCGCATCAAGAATATATGTACTTTGGAGGGTTTCTGATAATTTCTTTTGGGTGTTGCAAACGTTTTGATAAAATTAATGTATTTCTCATCTTTCGGTGATGGGTATAATGAAGTTAAAAGAACAAGCTGTAGAAAAAAACAAAGTGAAAGGAGCTACTTGCACCGTAATATTTAACTGACCATCGTTATAAAACCGAAATTGTATTACAAAAATTTGGCAACCAAACTTATAAGCCACGAAGGACACGTTTACTATATAGGTAAATCGAGATGAAATAGACCAAGCTGAGAGTAAGTAATTCACGAAGATTATCGAAAAAGGATATAACAATATCTAGTGGGTAATAGGTGTCATAAGGAAAATAAATAGTACGCGTTAACAACCCTACATCTTACTATGATGGGATTATTTCATTATGATGATTACGTTTGCAATGTCGAAGCTTTAATATTTGAAAGTTTCTGGATGCTCGGGTAAACACAAGAAAGTTAGGTCATTTAATCCATGAGTGAGCAATTTTACTAATTGGATTTATTAGGAGGAGAATATATTTACAAAACTATGCCTCTTCAGATAAGGCAAACTGGCAAATAAAAGGGCGTTTTCTGGGGTTGTCTTATCCTCTTCTGCATTGTGGACGTGCCTGTGAGCAGATCATGATTATTTTTAACTTAGTATTTTTAATCGATCAAGAGATGTTTGTACCAGATTTCAACTTCCTATCCAATTTTAAAAAGTTTGCCCGCTAATTTGATGATTTGTGAATTACAGCAACAATTCATAGTTAATTTATTTTCAAATTGCATTTAAAATAAAATATTAAAATAATTGCTATTTTATATAATTTTATATCGTTTGCGGAAATTTGTAATTCTTCTACGCACAGTAGTGACAATATTACTAAAGTTTGTAGCAATTCAAGATTTCCGAAAAGCATATTTTTACATTCATTAACCTTAATGCGAAAATCGCGTTCAATATATTCCTATTTAGTTTCTAGTTTCTCAACTAATAGACAATTAACTCAGAGACAATTAAATGACATTTGAAAAATCAAATTAGGAGATTACTATCGACTTTTTGTGTTCCTGTTATCAGTAAAATTAGCAACCATTTGACCGCTTGCTCTTTCATCCTCATTATTTGTATGAGCAAAAATGGCTCCTTAATATGACGCCATATTATCTCTAACGTTTACAAAGTAGCATTCCTGGTTTTTAAGCGAAACACATATATAAATGCGTGTGTACGAAAAAAAGTAAACAGCAGGTAGATTTCGTTTTCCTTTTTTTGGCGATTAGTTGGTATTGACGAATTGTACATTTTATGTTCGTCATATGCTTCAATAAATTTCAGTACAAATATTTTATGGAAATATACGAAGAAATAATTGAATATCTAGATTATTATAGAATATTATAGAATATTCTAGAAACTTCTGCAATATATTCTAAGAAGCCCCTCTTATGGAATAAGGCGAATATGTTTAATTCGGTTCAGAATCAGGCATACAGGTACTTTATACTTTTTTGGGTGTTGTGGTTAATATCCTGAATGAATCCTTCGGTAGCAGGTGTAAAAAGGTATGTCCTTATTCATTCAACACAGATATAAGTTCAGATTTTTATCAATTTTTTTTTATTTCATCTTTTCGCCGTTTTGGTTCAATAGTTGTTTTAATTTCTATACTCACTTGTGGAAAAAGAAAACATGTTCCCAACTAGGCCAGTATGCTCCTTTTTGAAGAAATGTTTTGCAATTATTATAAAGGAATATGGTAAAGGGAGTTCGGTCTTATTAAAAATTTTTTCAAGATGCTTTTTTAAAACATCAAGTTATTCTACGGCTTTTGCGGTATTTTATATTGAAAATTAGTTGTTTTTTTTACAAAACTAATTTTATAATTGTAACTTATATAACTTATATATGCTGCTAAGTAGTATACGGTACAAATAATTGGATACTTCTTGAACAAGATTTTAAACAGACGTTAGCAATCTGAGCGACTTCCTCTTGCCTACCATATTTATATATTAAGATTCGAAAAGTATAAGAAAATAATTTGGAGATTAATAATTGTCCTCAGTGATGCACGACACCAGTTTAGAAAACTGCACATTTTTGAGTAATATTCATATGAGGAGTTGTTATCGAAAGAAAGAAAATGCAAAAGCAAAGTAACACCCATTTAGAATGTCTTAACGAATTGTTTGGCCGCTATTATCCGCATGAAAATTCTGCACGATTAAAGGCAGGATGATTAGTATGTGAACTTCACATTGCAGATTGAAAAGAGCATCCTTTTCCGTTGACGCTTACAAAGTTTAGTTGCAGTCGTACCTGTCGAGATCTCATTGTTCATTTCATAGAAAATGAATTCAACTTCTAAATGTTAGGGCAGTGAAATATCAATGTTCCAACAACTTATTTGTGACAAGTGTGATTTACTTTGATTTTAAAATAAGTCACGAGGTCGAATTGAATTGAATCTGGGAGCCTGATCTTTAACTTGCAGCATTTTACACTCTCTATGAAAAATTAATTGAAACCTTCCTATAGATATATTCTAAGGTCAGCCGAAGAGTCTAATCACTAAGCTATTGGACTCACCATTCAAAAACAATTTCACAATTATAACATGTTGGTATTAAAGTCAGTTCAAAGATTTATTCTAAAGGTATTATATCTTGCTGTTCTTCGTGTTTTTTATTAATTTTTTTTGGGGCATTTTTAATGTGATATACCTTAAAGGAGGTTTGATTGCATGGGTCTTGGATCACATTATTCTTCTGTATGTTGTATTCATGACGTATGGGCGTCGAAAAGCAAATATGGGAGCAATACTTAATTTGTATTGGTCTTCGTTTCGATCATTATATGATGCAAATTGTATTAATTCTGTCATTTTTACTTCATTTAGTTTGTGTTGTGCTTAATTTTGTATGATGATTTAGTAGCGCGTGACAGTGACATACATTTCTAATTTATTTTTGTTTATTTCGTGAAGTTGTTTCTTTTTCTAGTTCATTTTGTCTTTCTCCTCATTCTTTCTTTGCTGCCTCACTTATGCGACGTCTTTTATTCTGTGGTTTCGGTGGCATTTTTTCTTTTATTACTTATTTATTTATTTTTTTTTTTGTAATTTTTTACCTTCTATTGATTGGATCGATGCGAACACTGCATTTCTATATATATTAAATTAAATGAGAATATATTCGCTCAACACAATGTTATGCCTCTAAATTGGTTTGCGTTTTATATGTATGAGATTTGCTACCTTCCGAAGATTAATCTAGATTTATACTATTCACATACGGGGGTTTCGCTAATTTTGAGCGAAGATCTGAATTGAAACGGCGTTCTCGAAACGGCTTAATACGATGAGGGTAAGTTTCTATTTACCCTATTTGTTTGCCGCAGATGATACGATCGTTATGCATTGCGTTGAATATCCACAGGATTATATATTCATTTCTAAATTATTTTGCATAAGTTTTAAAAAGACAATTATTGTTAATTATTAACTCATTTCAACCAAACTGTCTACTCTGTAAGCTTTATATAATTCTGTTATTTCCATTTTGTCGTCTTACAGAAAATGGAACGTCAAGGTAAATTGGAAATGGCAGCTAAAGAAAGGGAATTACAGCGTTTGCAATGCATTCCGAAAAAGTGGAATCGGCGTGAAGAATATGAATTTCTTCGAGTACTTACCGGATACGGCGTGGATTTGCATTTGCCCACTATCTTAGCGACTAGTACTCATACAACAACCCTAGCCCCAGATTGGACTAAATTCAAGCAGATGGCTCATTTAGAGCGTAAAAGTGATGAAACTCTGAGTGATTATTACAAGGTCTTTATAGCCACATGTAAACGTCAGGCAGGTGTGAAGCTTAATGAGAATGAAAAGGGCCTAGAAGGTATCATAGATGATATCAGTGAAGACCATGCTAAGCTGATCCTAGACCGTTTGGAATTACTGTCAAAACTTAGAGAAATTATTAAGCATCCACAATTAGAAGAGCGCTTGAAACTATGTCTGGTAAATAATGACACACCGGACTGGTGGGAAGCAGGCAAACATGATAAGGAGTTAATAGCTGCTGTACTAAAGCACGGCCTGTACAGGTCTGAAACATTTATATTAAATGATTCATCGTTTAGTTTTGCCGATTCGGAGAAACGTTTCATTCGCGAATTACAGTTACAAATGCAACGTTCCATTAAATTGGAAGCGCTAAATAACGAAAAAAATGCCATGGCTTTAACATCTCAACAATCATCGCTTGCAACACATTTGCCTTTAGGGGATACCGTAGTGCCATTGCCATCGGTAAAAGGTGAAATTATTGATTTGGACGATGAACTCCTAACCAAAAGTAGTTTAATCAAAAAAGAGAACTATACAACTCTAAAGACTGACATTAAAAAAGAATCTCTGGAAATTAAAAGAGAATTGATAGACAGAAAAGAACCACATGAAGAAGCTCAAGAATCTCAACTGCTGAAAGAATTGAAAAAGAAATCTACGGTAGAATTAGCTTTAGAAGAAGTAGCCAGGGAGACAAATCCTACACAGGAATCAGACAAAGATTTTTATAAAAATGACGAGCAAGAAAAGTCCGATCACTCGGAAAACGATGATCCAATCAAGATCGAAACTGAAAAACAAGATCTTAAGAGGTCATCTGAACATGATACAAATGTCTCAAAAGACGAAGTAAAACCGAACCAAATTAAACCAGAGAAGTCGGAAAAAATGGAATCTTACACAGATCTTGGACCTTGTCTCGACTTGAAGAAATTAAAAGGAAAAAAGATTGCAATTGAAACGGATGAAGAAAATTCTGAAATTGAAAAATCGGTAGAAGACCTATGCGGTCAAGACGGAGATGAAATAGTACAAATAAAAACATCTGGTGAGCAGCAGAGTAGTTGCAAAACAATAACCAAAGTAGAAAATAAAGTGAATACAGAGGAAAAACAAAATGATATCAATGTGACTATAGAACAGGAAAAACCAGGGGAGGATAATATAACTTCGCCCGAAGATGAAGCGTTAGACCTGGCTTCCGCCTTAACCTCTTCTACCACAGTTCCTCCAAGTCTCGCGATTGACCCAGAAGAAGAGAAAGTTATAAAAGAAAAAGAAAAAGCCGTCGAAGCGGAACGAAATAAACAAGCGGCCGAATTGAAAGCACGTTTCCCTGATTTAGAGGTTATACAACCAGGTTCAGCTAAGCAAAGACTTGACAAACCTAAACTGGAAATGTGCGTTATACGATGGTTTAAAGATTTCGCTCTGGAACGTCGTTTGTATCATGTTGTCACTTGTGTAGAAACGGGGACGTGGCCCGTGGATAAAGGCTACTCGGCATTAGCTGGTTGCAAAACCATTGAATTGAACATAGGCCTACATGAAATTATCCCGCATTTGAGCGTGGCGTTGGAGAGAAGGTCTACGACACCCGATGTAATAACCATAACCACTGACCAGGGTGTTACCAAGCACTTACCTGCTTCACAAGTGCAGCAGGTGGCGGCTGCAGCGGTCTCGGGCATTGGTCCTGCGGTTGGCGCTTCAGCACAACCTAATACGGCTACAATAAAACCATGCCAAATTCCTCCTTCTACGGCGATGGCAACTGCCTCAGCCTCAGCTATTGCAACTGCTGGCACCAATTTAGTAGGAATAGATGCTAATAGCTTAAATGCCGCAATGGCTGCTGCCGTGGCAGTTGCTGGCGGTAACACTAACGCTCTAAGTGCACTGTTGCCTGGAGTGCCATTGACTTCAGTCTCGGGTTTAAATATACCGAACAGCTCAATTCCTTCGACTAACACAACCACCGCTAGTGCTACGGCAGCGACGAATACGAGCAAAAAACGTAAACGTCATATAGCCATAGATGTTGAAACTGATCGTGCAAAATTACACGCACTGCTCAATAGCTCTCAATCATGTAAGTAGACATTTTTAAAAATGATCGCTTCGACATTAGAAGGTTTTTGTTTTTTTGGAATCTTAAAGGAGAGTGGATTTGTCCTGTAAACGATAAGACTTATACACCGAGTAACGTTATAAATTTTTAACACAAATTCTTCTTTAGAGCTTCAGGTTGATAACAGCAATAAAGATGATAACAGAGAAAGTTGATGATGCGGATCACGTGATGGTTGTTATTGATTTATTGGAGGTTAGGAGCTATTCATGTTGAGGTAGTCTATTCAGTTCTATTCATTCTGAAGAATGAACACATTGATAACAAGCTATGATTTTGAAGTGATAAAATTTGTAAAAATATGACTAAAAAACACAAAAAGTTTAATTGTTATTATGACGACTTAGAAAGAGAAGCCAGCAACTTTGATAAAGGCAGTTAGCTGCATAAGATGAGTGTTGTTGCGAGCATGAGAGATTTCCTACAACCTATTATAACTACTAAATATCTTAAATGAACATCTAATGCACGTAAAAGTAAGATGTTGCATGTAAAGAAAAGATGACGTCCGATCTTTAAATAACATTGCACATGTGTCTGTTGAGCATCTTAATCTCCCATGTGGTAAAATTAGCAAGAGAAAGAGATTTGAAGGCCGCGAAAGAAAGATCATCATTTTCATTTCAATGAAAACTAGAATGATATGGTATCCAGATCAGATGACATACATCTATGTCAGAAATATTTAACATATTACAGATTTCAAACACATACAGGTTGTGATGATCTTCTTTTTCGATAACGGCAAGAGCCGTCAGAAAAAACCACGAATCGTTTAATGTGTTAAGAAAGAATTTTGAATAGTAAATTTTTAAATAGCAACTTATACTGCTGGATACTTCGCATGCCATGGAGGTCTGAAAAACACGGTTTGACAACTTTTGCTTGCAGA